TGGCTAGAAGTTACGCAGGTTTTAGTGGGAAATCATTTAGCTTCTGTTACTTAGTTTTCCTTAAGTAGGAGTGGTAACAGAAGCTAAATGATTTCCCACTAAAACCTGCGTAACTTCTAGCCATAAGCATGACAATGGTTACAAAGCACAGCTGTGAGAAACACTATCCCTAACACTTTATTTTACAGATGGCTGTGCTGCAGTACAAACGCTGAATAGGAACAGCACCATGAATAATAAGACCATGCACAAGACACTATAAAAGCGAAAACCATGATTTAGGAAAACACCCACAGGGTAATGAGTTACTGTCATGTATGGCTTAAAACCTGGCACGTGGAAGGGAACCTGTGCTTTCTGTAATTGTAGGACTGCTTAAAAGCTATTAAAATATGGCTAGATCCAAAATCTACACACATTGGTCTCTCCAATTTTATACACAGAGGGGGCTTTTTAGTTTAATTAGCAGCTCCACCTTTGGACCAGCATCAGCTTGAATCATAATTTCAAAGCTTTCACACTACCTCATGTGTTGCCTGGAGGAGGATGCTTGATGTGAAATACAACAGAAGGGGATTAATGCTTCACTAAAAAGCCCAGAACACTGTGGGGATGAACATGGAGATACAGGCTCTTTTCTCATCTAGAATTAATTTTTTCCCACTTTACTCAGATGTGATCCATGGAATGCTGCGTTATCAACCAGCGGGTCCCAACTATTACTGTTACACCTTTATGGTAATGGCCACTATGGCCAGGTGCTTTCCTGACCGAGGAGGAACAGTCCCCAACAATATATGGACAGCCAGACACTTGGGAAATTGGAAACAATATTTTTCTTTCTGATTTACTTAATATACACATTTAAAAAAAAGTCTTGCTGTAAGCAGCACAGCAGAAGTGGGTCTTCAAGACTGAGTTAAATGTGGATACAGCAAGAGCCTTTGCAAAAGTTGTACCATGCACAGCCAGTGAGTGGAACAGAAGACGGCATGAAGGGGTTTGTGTGAATCTGATATATGGGCCAACAGGGCGAGAACATTGGCAAAGTGGAGCTGGTAACACAAAGTGAGAGGAGTTCAGAGAAGTAAGGAGAGACAGAGTTACACACAGCTTAGAAGGGAGTGACAAGAAGCCAGAATTTGATGCGACAGAGGATGGGGAGCGATGTGATCAAATCAATGGACAAGGAAGATGACTTATGACACTGAATGCTGAAATGCAGAGTTATGGGTAAGGTCATGGGACTCATCCATCCCAAGTTAATAATTTCAGTGATTTTTAAAAGTGCAAATATTCTCAGTTTATCTGGGAGAGACTGTGTGCATTGCACAGGCTACATACTAACTTCCCAGGGACATGGGATAAGTAAAAGTAACTGCCCTATTCTTCAAGCACCCCTCAGCAGACTATTCAAGGAAAGCATGGATGGAAGATGCAGAAGGCTACAAGTCCAATCGCCCAGCAGTTAGCACTGAGGTCAGTGGAGTTACACTGCATTTATGTGAGCGCGATAATGAACAGAATACGGACCATGGATTTTAAAGTGGGATGTCAGGCTCTGAATGAAGAGACTGGTCTCCAATCAATGCTCATAAATTGGGGACTGATAAGGAGAATGGAAAGAAGGAAAATGCCACATCAATATTGTATATGACTATGTTGTAGATCTTAACATTTCAATCTTTTCTGTTGGACCAACCTGTGAATACACGTTGATTCTTTAAAAAGACTTGGGTTCCAGCTCAAATAAATAACATCGTAATACTGGCAAAGATCCTCCCAGGCAATCCAGAAAATCCCTACAAAGGAAACACATTTTTCATTGTTTGCTTGCAAAATATCTTTGCTCTACACATTTTGCAGGACCCTAATTACACACAAGCGCCAAGGTTTGTATAAAATCCATTCTCATAAACCTGAATACAAATGTCCACGCTGTTCATCTTCCCCGTCTACAAACAACCTCCACAATAGGCCAGTTTGGTAAACCAAAAGAGATTGAAGTTGACCTCTGAGACACCATCTGGTCACCGTCTCTGCTGATCAGTTAGGCCTTTGCTTTTCCTCAGCAGAAAGAATATTTTGCATTTTTAAGTGATGAGCAAAAGCCGTAATCCTTGTGCCCTCCTAAGAGTGGCAATGTTAACCACTTCGGTACTGCCCCCTACTTTCTTAGGATTCTGAAAAATTAGATACAATTAATAGGTAACCTCCAGTTTAGGTAATCTAGCTCACTGTTTTCTACCTATTTAACTGAAGGTCCATCAGAGAAGGGACATCACTTGTCCAGCAGAACAAGCTCTTACTCTGAGAGGAAAGTACACATGGCATTGTTTGAGATCTTTCCCTAGCATTCCACTTAACATCCATTTGGGTGAGCTCTAGCACACTGGAATTTGCTTTACAATATTGTACAATCTTTACAATATTCACTGGCAATTATTATCCTCTCCTCAGCACACCCAATTGCAACCACAGCCAACACTACTACAAGCTATTGAAATCCTGCTCCTTGAACTCTCCATATGCTCACAGCACTGTAACACAAGCTGCTAATACAGATGTATTTCAGATTTACAATACAAAGAATATCCAGTGTCATGGCAACTGTACATGTTGATACCAAGACTAGTCAGATACCAATCCAATCATAAAAAATAACATCTTTACAATCCCTTTACAGAACCCAGGGATTTAAATCCAAGTACTGTCAAGTGATGCATTAATAAATGAATAACTAGCTATCCTTCCTGAAGATTATAAAGCCAGTGTCAGGATGGAATTACTTTCTGCTAATAAATAATGTTTTTCCACCTAGCTATTTACACCACACTCATCAACATGGAATCTCAGTGCCTTTGCATCCATCGTTTTGTAAACAATATGACACCAGACCCAAAAAGGGTTAATTAATTACAGTGGGGGAGACAAGAGACACAACTGTTTGCATAGAGGAAAAAAACTACATTGTATTTCCAAAGTGGAGCAGCTATTGTAGCATTTGGGAACTGGCTGATCTAGTGGCAGCATTTTGCCCTGCCAAATGGGAAACCCATGCTGCTTTCCTTGATGCAGTGCATTAGTTCTACCTGGGGGAAGATGGGGCAACAAGACAGTGCCTGGTATTGCTCAATCTCTCTACATAATTATGTAGTAGTCCGGTTGGGCTCAAAGAAATATCTCAGCAACTTATAGTCATCCAGTCAACAAGTGAATGCAACTAAAGATTTGTGTACATTAAAGTGTAGCACAGGGAGAAAATCTTCAAGTCCCCATTACAGACATCACGGATCTCTTGGATGAAAGGAAATAAAACATTCCTTACAAGGAGTGTATGAATATGTATTTCTGAATGGTAGGAAAACAGCTAATGAAGTACTGAAGAGTCCACTCACGTACTAGTAAATGGTATTATGAGGTTTCTCAGTATGTGTTATGAAGTATTAAGGATGGCCAAAATCACATGATTAAAAAAAAGGAAAATAGACGCTAATACTAAGAAATAACCTCTTAAATTTAAAATATATTAAATGACCCACTCTATTAAAATCTAGTCAATTTTGAAACATGAGTTTAAAGTAATATCAGGTACTTCTTACCTGCCTTTGCCATTTTTTTTTTTGCTTTACAGTCTTGTTTATTGTCCCGTCCCCCCCATTGCTGTGTGAATGACCCACAAAAACAAGGAAACTGCCCCCCCCCACCACTGCTCTCAATTACTCAAATTGACAAGAGGTCTTTTTTTCTAATCTTCT